GTAAAGTCATCGGCGCCAGCATTTGCCTTTGTCCCGCTAACTTCACCATCAATAGCTACAGAAGCATTGCCTGACAAATCAACTCTGCAGCCTATGTCAACGACACGACCACCGTCAGTACCACTCGGGGCAACAGTAAAGTCACCGGCACCAGCATCTGCCTCTGTCCAGACAACTTCATCAGCAGTTACTACAGAACCATCGCTTGACAGACTAACTTTGCGGCCCATGTCGTCGTCACGACCACCGTCAGTACCACTCGAGCCAACAGTAAAATCGTCGGCGCCAGCATATGCCTCTGTCCCGCCAACTTCACCACCAGTAACTACAGAACCGCCGCTTGACAAATCAACCCTGCGACCTATGTTATCGACACGACCACCCTCCGTACCACTCGAGGCAAAAGTAAAGTCATCGGCGCCAGCATTTGCCTTTGTCCCGCTAACTTCACCATCAATAGCTACAGAAGCACTGCTTGACAAATCAACTCTGCAGCCTACGTCATCGTCACGACCACCGTCAGTTCCACTCGAGGCAAGAGTAGAGTCATCGGCGCCAGCATATGCCTCTGCCCCGTCAACTTCACCACCAGTAACTACAGAACCGTCGCTTGACAAATCAACTCTGCAGCCTATGTCATCGTCACGACCACCGCCAGTACCGCTCCAGCCTACAGTAAAGTCATCGGCGCCAGCGTCCTTCTCTCTTCCGCCAACTTCATCAGCAATGACTACAGAACCGCTGCTTGACGAATCAACTCTGCGAACTATGTCGTCGTCACGAACACCGACACCGTCAGCACCACTCGAGCCACGAACAACATCTGTTAAAGAATTACCAGAATTTGCATCCCTGGCGTCCCTAGGGCCACCTAAGCCATTTTCGTCAAAAGACTTAGCATCTTCGCTGTCACCAGCACGAATTTCACTAAGCCGGTCAGCAACACCATCACCCCTTACTTCACCTTCATCAAAAACATCAGCCCACCCTGCAGCACCACCGGAAACTTCATTACCATCACAGCCTATGCCACAAGCATCGTTATCAGACGTCCCAAAGAAATCGCCGGCATTAGACTCGTCGGTGCCGGCATCTGCCTCTCTTCCGTCAACTTCATCAACAGTAACAGCAGC